CCAACATTTCTAAAGAATGCTTTCAGCACCTTGTTGAATCAATGCCATTTAGAATTAAGGCAGTTCTGAAGGCGAAAGGTGGTCAAACACCGTATTAGTATGGTGTTCCTAATAATCCTTTAGGTGAGTGTATATGTATATATTATATTTCTTAGTGTCCATGTATTAGCTATATATAAGGTAGTTTTCTAAAACCATAATCATACCAGTTTGTTCTTAAAGTCAACATTTCCCAACTGCATTTTGATGTTCTTCAGCTCCTCAATGTCTTGCAGTGGAAGTCCGCCATCCTCTGCACACTGAAAAAATTATAGATTCTTATAGAATGACCTGTAAAAAGTATTTTAAAAATCTCTGTAATTGAGTTAATAGTAATTCACTTAGAAATATAACTGGTATGAAATATAAACTTGAATACACCTTGAAACTTTATTAACATTTCCAAAATCAATCTAAAATAATTTAATTAAAATAGATCATAAAGCAATTTTGTACAGTGCACTTACCGTTATTAATGGTGTGTTTGCAGGACTGTTATCCAAAAAGGGAGGTCTTTGGGTAACAATCTCTTTCAGGTGTTAATTAGTTGCAGAAGGATCCTCTCTGTTGCTGTAAGGTCAACAATAGAGAATACAGCATTAAATATTTAGACATACATCGAGACAGATGTAGATTTGTTTTCAACTTATGTGTGCATTGACTTGGTATAAGTTGCCTTGTGGATAACCAAGTTCTTGAAGGAACATCTGTAAGAATAAGACAGTAACAAATTACTCTAAAACCCTAAGCGATCACAATTACTATCTTGTATTATACTGAAAATTGAAAAGCACAAGTATGATCATTTTCAGTATACACATGTTGTCACACCCAGCTCCGTACGATCCTCGTGTGTGCCACGCCCCCTCATTACCTCGTGTCAAGTCCTGATTGTGATCACCTGTGTCCTGTTATTTCTGGCTAGTCTTGTGTATTTAGTCCGCGTCTGAGTACGTCTCGTCAGATCCGTCATTGTAGTGTCAGTGGATGTTCATGCCTGTCTACCCTCCGTTGAAAATAAACCTTGTTTGTCCGTCTTCACGGCTCCGCTCGCCTGCTTTCCGGTGTTCTGTCGATATATGCTGCCTTGTCGAAAAATGCTACCGTAGTGCTAATCAATAGCCCTAACCCTAACTCTTACCCTAACCCCCAAAAACCCCCAAAGCCCTTACCTTAACCCTAACCCTAACCCCTAAAACCTAACCCTAATCCCAAGACGGTGGAACTGCACATGCGCAGAAAGGCTCGATAGCACGTCTCGATAGGTAGTATTTTTCGACAGAACACCGGCTCGCCTGCCCCCCAACCCTGACACACATATTTGGAGAGTAATCTTACACCATAGTAATACAACTCAAATTAATAGTACATACAAACACATCACACAAAAGGTCGAGCATGCATGGTAATGTTAGCATAGCCATAGATGTTAAATGGTTAAAGTGCAATAAAAAGTTTGTAACAATAAATAATCAAAACACGATTGTTAACTTATATTAATTTGTATAATCAAAAACAAAAAAAAAATCATTTAGATCATTCTGTAACTATTTAAGAAAGAAATGATTTTCAACCTACCTTTCCCACCAAGCGTACGCAACGGAATAGACTTTTCTTTTTTTCTTGTCTTTTAAAGCTGGTTTAACAGGGAACAAAATATCTTTTAAAACCATGTTCCTCAACCACTGGGCCACAAAGGCTACAGGGGTGCGTTTCCCAAACAATGACAGAAGTTAGCATTAACGATGCATCGTACTATGGTAGTTCAAACTAAGCAACATCCAAAGTACGACTGTTTCCCAAAACCGTTGTACCACAGTAGTTCGAACCACGTTGGTTAATTAGTTGGGACTTCCGTAGTTCGAAGTTCGAACTACCATAGTTCCAGCGCTGATTGGTCAGACTCACAGCGAGTCGTGCGCAACAACTAACAAACTACTTTCACAGCCGGTCGCATACGAAAACTCGTGAACTGTGTAATATCATATAAATATATAATAATCACACACACACACATATGTAGGGAGCAGCGCCCCCTGTGACTCCTGTGCCTACAGCTCCGCCCACCAATAATATGAAAAATAGCAATCGCGCCAAAATAATGCGACGCTTCTTGGAGTGGTAAACAGAAGAACTTTTAGCTATGACACTGCATTTTGTGAAAGACGCTCCATCTGTAATTACGTTGATTGCAGATCATTGTCTTTCAGTCACATTACGAACACTTACAAATTCCTGGTCCGATGTTGTTGCTTACAGAATGTTAGTGGCTGACTGGAATAAACAGGTGCGTGTAATATCCAAACATCACAGACGTCATTTCCCCAGTGCAAGGCATGGATTCATATCTGGCCGCTGTAGTGTCATTCTGCTCTTCCATTATGGCAATGACAGCTGTCAGTGAATAAGGAGTACTTCATCAAAGTGCTGTACTCTTTTCTAAGGCGACTGTTGTCCCTCTTAAGTTATGTGTGTAATGAAGAAACTGCACAACACCCAATGGTCTGCATAGGGCTACAAATACACACATGTACACATACAAGGGATAATGGTCTCCTACTTCCCAGGACGAAACTCAGCACCATGGGTGATCGGGCTTTCTGTTCTGCTGCCCCTCAACTATGGAACACCCTCCCAGACCATTTGAGGGCACCACGGACTATTGAAAACTTCAAAAAAGGACTTAAGACCATTCTTTTTAGTAGAACTTATGGATTTTAATTATTTTTGCAGGTTACAGGTTTATTAATTATTAATTATTTACCTGATTGTTTTTATTGTTGTTTTAATAGGTGTTTTTCATCATTTTTTTTTAGGATGACATTCTGTGGCACTTTGAGATTTATTTTAAATGTAAAGTGTGTTACAAATAAAATTTATTATTATTATTTATTACTATTATTTTTGGGTTTCATTATTTTTGTCATGCCCAGCTCCCTGCGATCCTTGTGTGTGCCACGCCCACCTCGTTATCTCGTGTTTATGCCTGATTGTTCTCAACTGTTGCTCGTTAAACTCAGTTTGTCTTGTGTATTTAGTCCTCGTCTGAGTCAGTCTTCCCCAGACTTGTCATTGATGTTTGCTGTCGTGCTTCCCCGGTCCTGTTACCTGAATAAATCCCCGTTCTACCCTGCTTCCTGGCTCCTCTCCCCTGCTTGCCGGCTAGCGAACGTGACAGAATGACAAGTCTCCGTAAAGACGCACCGCAGCGGGAGGACGATCCCTGGCTCCTCCTGCTGCTTGAGGTGGCGTATTAGCGCGAGCTGCTGGAGATCCACGGGGATCCCGGCTTGTTCGCCCTGACGGAGGAAAGCTGGGATCTCCTCCAGGAGGTTACCCCATGCACCGAGGAGCGCATAATGGGGGAAGTGCGCTCCCTCCTGTAACAACTGGTTGACCGGGTAAGAGAGAAGCGGCTCCGGCCACTCTCCTGCACGGAGGTAACCCCGCCCCCACCTACCGGTCCCGGTCAGCGCAAAAAGAAGAGGCGAAGGGGGAAAGGGGAGGAAGCCGCCCCGACGCTCTTCCTGGGCTTTTCCCCGCCTGTGCAGCTCTACTGGGCACCGAGGAAAAGCCACCTCCTATGGAGGCTTACTTCTATCGGCAGGAACGTCTGGGGCACGGAGGGATACGTGCCGTAAGAGACGGCATTCCCCGGGTCCCTAAAGCCCTTAAAGGGGCAGTCCCTGGCTTACCTGCTCCGGACCTGCCTGCTCCTGACCTGCCAGCAGCACCGGCTGCTGCTGCCACCGCACGGCCCGCGGCAACGCCTGCTGCTGCTGCCGCCGCACATCTGGGGCTGTGGTCAGCAGCACAGGGCTGCCACAGTTACTTGAAGTGCAACTCTGAGTCGTGCCATATGCAGAAGTTCTCTGACACTGCAATTGTAGGCTGTATAAAGGATGGGCAGGAGGCTGAGTATAGGAGCCTTGTGGAGGACTTTGTGGGATGGTGTAGAACCAACCAGCTGCTGCTGAACATCACCAAAATGAAAGAAATGGTGGTAGACTTCAGGAGGTCTGCCTCTACATTGCCGTCTGTCACCATTCATGGGGTGAATGTGGAGACTGTCAGTACATACAAGTGCCTGGGGGCACACCTTGACAATAAACTGGACTGCTCTGCCAATACTGATGCACTTTACAAGAAAGGGCAGAGCAGGCTCTCTCTCCTTAGTAGTCTGGGGTCCTTCAATGTCTGCAGCAAACTCCTGCTTATGTTCTACCAGTCTGTCATGGCCAGTGTCCATTTCTATCCTGTGGTATGTTGGGAGGGCAGCACTAGGAAGAGGGTTGCTGGACAACTGGACAGGCTGGTGAGAAAAGCTAGCTCTGTGGTGGGCATGGAGCTGGAGTCACTGACATCAGTTACAGATAAGAGGACCCTGAGCAGATTACTCTCAATATTGGACAATGACTGCCACCCACTGCATACCACTTTCCCAAACAGAAGAGCATGTTCAGTAGTAGGCTCCTGTCTCTGTCATGCAAAACAGACAGGCTCAGACGGTCCTTTGTCCCTAGGGCCATACAGCTTTTCAACGTCACATGGAAGGGGAGGAGTGTGAAGGACTTAAGTGTGTAGACCTGTACGGCACATGGCCCTCTATATCATGCTTTCATCTGGATGCCTGACTTTTATATCTAACTTTACTGTAATTGCACATGTAGCAGGGTTAAAATATTTTGTTTATTTCATGTTTCATTTGTTTTTATGACTAGGTGACAGAGGTGTGTTGCTGTGCATAGTATTGCTTTTGTTCTTTTGTTTTGATGTACATAAGGGTTATATCGGGCCATTCACTAGGGCTGTATACCTTGGAGAACCTGGCGATACGATACATACCTCGATACACAGGTCACGATTCGATACGTACCTCGATACAGAGCTGTCTCGATATGATTTGATACAATGTGACACGATTCGATACGATTCAATAAAAATACATGGGCCAGAGCCAATTAGTTAATGCTGAACACATTTACTCAACAAACAGAACTCAATTTATTGAAGACAAAAGTGCATTATAACAAAGTGCATTTTGCTTAAATATTTGCAACTTTAAGTGCTCTGATTAATTGTACACAAATTGTATTAATCTGGAAATTACCACAAGTCAACATTTAACTTTCCAAGGGTACAGTCTGAGCTCACACAAGCACAAAATCTTCTTCTTATTATTCTTAACTTCTTATTAAATCTTCTTATAATTCTTTTTTGTGACACCATGTACTGCCATAACATATTTCACTATGAAATCACTTAAATGCTATATCTTGCTTTAACATTTGGCACAACAACAAATCTACCTCATAACAGGATGGATTTTTAAAATCTTAAGGCTAAACCAGGTTTGTCCTCAAAAAGGCAGGTTGAACAAAAATCACTGCAGCAACAAAACAATAACCTGAGGATACTCTTGGTAATGCTAGCTTTATCCTATGACTTAAGATTTTTGTTCAAAAACAGAAGTTGGTCAACATGCTTTGAGCTTAGTACACTTCTCTGTGCTGTTACGATATCGCCTGCCGTAGAGAAAACGCGCTCTGAGGAGACACTAGTCCCTGGAATGCACAGGTACACTTTGGCAAGGCGTGACATTAGTGGATATTCATTCTGGTGCTCTTTCCACCAACTGAGTGGACTTCCCTCAGCAAGAGACAGGGGTGGTGCCTCCTTGTACCTTGACATCTCCTCTTCTGCCTGGGCCTGTGTGGTTCTGTGTCTCACCACAGGACCTGCACTGTAAGTTGAACCAAGCAGATCAGCCAAACAGCACAAGTCCTTTTTCTTCTTGGGTGGTGGGCTGGCAGGAATGTCATCCTTGTCTTCCACATGATTGTCCTCCTCTCCTGGTATCACTTCAGCCTCTTCCTATTATGCAAAATACAGATTTTTTATCAATAAACCCATAGTTAATTCTATAAAGAGCATATTCAAAGACATATAATAGTTAGTTTGCCTTTTATTTAATGCAATGAACTGACAAACCTTTACAATATATTGTTTTGCTAGTATAGTGCTTTACATGAAGTATATGTTTGAAACCATTTAGTTTTTTTAAGCTCTAACATACTATTATGAATTTGAAATTATGAACTGAATATTTCGTTTTATTACACTTAGTGTATATATGTGTGTGTGTGTGTGTGTGTGTGTGTGTGTGTGTGTGTGTGTTTGTTTTTCATGTTTTTTAACCATGTAATGCTAATGTTAATGACACAGTGAAAGGGCTTACCTGAAATAGTTCTTGAATTCTTCGAGCTTCTGCAGTGATTCTCAAGTATATTTCCTCTCGTTCATCATCAGGAAGGAAGGGCAAAGCTTTGAATCTTGGATCAAGTGCTGAACATACATACATGGTCTCTTTCTGCTGATCCATGTACCTCTTGCTCAAATCTTGGCAAATAGCCGCTTTGATTTCTTTCACTATCTCACTATCTGCTCTGCTCTCTTGGAAATCCTGGATGAGCTGAGCATGAAGAGGGGCCACAACTGACAGTGTTGGAGAGCTTTCTTTTGACATTACAAGAGTAGCAATCTTCATGGGCTTCATTGCATCCACTATCTCCTCCGCAGATGTAATCTCCGACTCACATAGGGTGCAAACTTCTTTCTCGGTTTTCCTAAGCTCGTTGGACAGAAGAGCAGCGGAGACAGCGGGTTGCTGCTCAAGAAAGCGCTCGAGCATATCATGCGCGCTATTCCAGCGCGTCACAACATCAGTGATCAGTTTATGTTCAGGCAACTCGAGCAACTTCTGCTTCTGTCGAAGTACGTAGCTGGCTGTGGTACTGCGCTTAAAAAAGGTGGATATCCGTCTAACACGTCCCAATAAACGAGCGACAGCAGGAAGCTTCAGTGCACGCTGCGAGGCCAGGTTTAAAGTGTGAGCGAAGCACCTGAAATGCAACATACCGGCAAGCTCCGCTGCGATTGAATCCTTATTTGCGGCATTGTCAGTCACAATAGCTGGGTCTTTGGATACGAGGTCCCACTCCTCCAGCGCCGCTTTCAGTAACTCTGCAATGTTTGACCCAGTATGGCTCTCGTGCATGGCTCGCGTTTGTGAAACGTGCAACATCAGTTCCCACTCCTCGTCAACGTAATGGCAAGTGATTGTAACAAAAACTTCCGTGGCTCGCGATGTCCACCCGTCACAAGTCAGTGCCACTCGTGGGGCAGAACTCAGGGCTGACTTAACATTGTCTTTGACTTTGTCATATATTCTCGGTACTGCTTTGTCAGTCATGTAGCTGCGGGTAGGGATCACGTAACGGGGATCTAACGTGTTGATCATAAACTATAAAGCGAAAGCCTGTGTTCTCGACAACACTGTAGGGACATAAACCTTTGCAAATATAATGCACCACAGACTCCGTAATCTTCTGTGCACGGACTGAGTTAGATGGAAGCTTGGATGTTGCGTTGTCCAAAGTAGTTTGCGTTGGGTCCCGTGTTTTTTTGGGCTGCGGCGAAGCTAGCTTGTCTGCATGGTGTCTTTGCAGGTGGGCGCGCAGGTTAGTTGTATTACCGGTGTAGCGTATAGAAGCCTAGCTGGCAATGCTTGCAGATTGCATTTGTTATATCGATCCCTTGGTTTCCTTCCTTTGCTTTAAAACCAAAATGTGTCTAAACATCTGCCCTTAGGGACAACGGCGCTTTTAAAATCTTCGACATTTTCCATGAGTTTTTTTAAACTCGCGGGCGCCGCTGCGCCCCCTAATGGCTGGGCGGAGTATCGATACTAAGGGCTAGAATGTCGATACTGTATCTTTTTTTATTATATCGGTATGTATCTAAGAATCGATATTTTGAGCACACCCCTA